GCCGATGGGCCGGCCGTGCCTCTGGTTATGGATTCCTTCACTAACATCGTAACAGTCGCTAGTGCGTGTGTGATGACTTTGCTGTGACCGTTGTGTGACGCGCTCAATAGTGATTGGGCCCGAGCGCCCCCTCTTGTCGTCGACTCTGCTCGCGAAGTGGGTTTATGTGGTTTCTTCAATTTGGAGGAATAGAATGAACCCACGTCTGGAGAGAATATTTTATTTGTGGGATGAATCCAACCCACGGTTAAACACTTAAAAATAGACCGCAAGTTTACTACTTGCACTTCATGGCAGAGTAAAAAACAGACCGATCAGTTTTCTCGCTACGCTTGATGCACCTTCCGTGTCCTCCAATTCCGGCTGAAGCACGTACACTTTTTATTTGTCCATGCATGCTTGCTGTAGTAGTTAATAAGTTAATTAATCGGCCAAATAGTATTAACACTGTTATATAGTAGCCGAAATTAACCAAACTAATGCATGTATACCCAAGTTGTTTTAACATTCAAATTTGGCTATCGGTTGTTTAAATAAATTGTACCCCAAAGCCAAATTTGAATGTCAACCGATTCTCCACAAGATTAACACATCAGTTCACATCATCGTTACTTAATATTATAGAGGTTCCAGTTGATTTACTGATTTCTTGGGTGGCAAGTGGCATGGCGTCGATGTTTTGTTCACTCCGGCCGGCCGGGTCCATATACAGGTTGCACCTTTTCACTGTATTTATCCTACCATTAATTGAATTGAATAGCAATAAGCAGAGACACCTACAAGGACGTGATGGTGATCCGGGAGATATTTGTATTATTGATATAAGGAGGCCGGGTACATATATGGGAAGGATCATCATGCCAACGTACGTACGTTGTACCTGCAGCCTCGATCAGTCCACAGATGACTCGGCTACTATTTTTGCAGGCTAACGGTTTCTGCGGCTGATAAATCCGCTGAAACTGATTTATTGTAAGAGATAAATTCACGAACAGGACGTGCCGAAAGAAAGATACATCACTCTTTTTTGTCTCGTTTTCGTTTCATGTGCAAAAAAATCCACTCCTGTCACTCAGCTGTTCGGTTGCCTTTCTCCTCCACAGTTGTGTTGCTTTGTTTGGTTTGTCATATATATGTCCATCTTCTCGTTACTGTAGCCCGATCCCGCGCGTGTTTCGTACCTGAATTGGTTTGTTTGTTTACTTTTTGGGCAGACAAGCAGAATGGTCAAGAAACAGACCGACGGCGAAGCAATTTGCCGAAGCAAATTTTGGGCTTGAAACGAGACTACGACTGCCGTATGTGGAAGTTGTATGAGTATCAATGGGCCCGAGATCTTTTCCAAGAGTATGTATGTATTCGTACGCTAAGCTTTGTCCAATCCATATGTGAGGGCTGGAGTCGTTGAAAAGTCTTTTGAGAGTTACAATCAATTCTGATAGGACCTTAAGTGTCTTGATATATATGAACCTCCGCATTATCCGGAAGGATTATATTTGAAGCTACGAAATTTGAGAGTATAAAATAGACCTACCAACAGAGGAATTGGTTGGTGTGCTAGGGACTGAGGAGATCAAGCTCGTTGTTGTGGCTCTGCCGAAGGTTGAGATGCATGAAAAAGGAAGGATGAAGCTGGTGATCCTACTAAAGCTTCACTTAAGTAGGTTGGGATTTCGATCCGGCCCCTCAAAAAAGGTTGCAAACAAGAAGAAGAAAAAAAAACTGCCTAGAAGGTCCTTAATACAGTGTAGCTACATTGCACAGAGGAGTCAGAGTCAGAACCGGAGCCGGCCCAACCTCCACCAAATAGCTAGGCCCCTGGTCTTTAATATACTTGAGAGCCGCACACTCACCTTAAGTACCTACGCAATGCTATATATGTATCACTGATCGATATACTTATCGAGAATAGTGACATACCCGGATCCAACACTTCTTGATACCGGAAAGTATCGGAAAAATATAACTAAAAATAAAAAGAGATTTAAATCCCGATACTCTACAAATACTTCCTGATACTCCATCCCGATACTTCAAGTTGCCGATATCACATTGAATGAGCTTGACTTTGAAGGTATGATATGTGAAGATATAGAAACTTTGTAAGCATAGAGATTGAAAAGATAGTTTGGATGAAACAAACCCATATTTAGCTTATGTTGAGACCAGATCATAGTTAGTCTCGTGATACTGTTGAAACTTGAATTAATATGTGTTACTCTTGTGGCTTATTGATTTATTGGATTTGAAATATTTTCTATGTTTCATGACATCCTATATTTACAATATCTTGCCTTTTTCTATGACATATTAAGTTATTTATATGTCATGATTTAGTATAATAATTGTTGTATCGTTGTACCGGTATATGTACCGGCGTATCACATATTGTTCATAATAGCAAATGTGCCCTTACGTTGCAAAGAAACCCAATATGTATAGAAATCAGATTTTGTATCATCGCTAGATGTGAGTTGTTCTAACTTATATGAGCGCAGGTCACATCTGAGATTAAGGATGGCAACATAGCCCCCTGATACCCGATACCTGATACCTGACAGGTCTTTGATCCATTAGGGGACGGTGATAGATCATGTCTCTCCCCACGGGGATCTAAATGGGTGAAAATCCATCCGTGACGGGTATAGCGGGTACGGGGATGACGTTCCCTATTTACCCGTCCCCATTACCCGTTGGGGAACCCAACTATTTGAGCAACCATGTGAATATTAGGCTCAAAAGAAATCCAATATAGTTATTTTGGCCCAAGTCTAAGCAATTATATAAATAGTACGTGTGTTCACTGATCGATATACTTATCGAGAATAGTGACATACCCGGATCCAACACTTCTTGATACCGGAAAGTATCGGAAAAATATAACTAAAAAATAAAAAGAGATTTAAATCCCGATACTCTACAAATACTTCCTGATACTCCATCCCGATACTTCAAGTTGCCGATATCACATTGAATGAGCTTGACTTTGAAGGTATGATATGTGAAGATATAGAAACTTTGTAAGCATAGAGATTGAAAAGATAGTTTGGATGAAACAAACCCATATTTAGCTTATGTTGAGACCAGATCATAGTTAGTCTCGTGATACTGTTGAAACTTGAATTAATATGTGTTACTCTTGTGGCTTATTGATTTATTGGATTTGAAATATTTTCTATGTTTCATGACATCCTATATTTACAATATCTTGCCTTTTTCTATGACATATTAAGTTATTTATATGTCATGATTTAGTATAATAATTGTTGTATTGTTGTACCGGTATATGTACCGGCGTATCACATATTGTTCATAATAGCAAACGTGCCCTTACATTGCAATGGAACCCAATATGTATAGAAATCAGATTTTGTATCATCGCTAGATGTGAGTTGTTCTAACTTATATGAGCGCAGATCACATATGAGATTAAGGATGGCAACAGAGCCCCCCGATACCCGATACCTGATAGGTCTTTGATCCATTAGGGGATGGGGATAGAACATGTCTCTCCCCACGGGGATCCAAATGGGTGAAAATCCATCCGTGACGGGTATAGCGGGTATGGGTATGACGTTCCCTATTTACCCGTCCCCATTACCCGGTGGGGAACCCAACTATTTGAGCAACCATGTGAATATTAGGCTCAAAGAAACCCAACATAGTTATTTTGGCCCAAGTCTAAGCAATCATATAAATAGTACGTGTGTTCATGGAACCCTAGTTCAATTTCTCCTCCTCACCTCAGCCGTCGGCAGCACAAGCACGCTGCACGCCAGCTCTCTAGACTTTGGTCCCCGTCCGACGTGGGTCGAGGAGGCCAATGTCGTGCCCCTTGCTTCCTTAGTTCCTGGCTTCCGGCCTATCCGCCACCCATGCTCCTCACTGCCTTGCTCTCCCGAGCCTCTCCTCGTCCTATGCGACGCCGTGCCCCATGCCCCTTGCTCCTTCTCCTCGACGTACGCAGATGGCCAACATGGCTGGTTGCTTCCTCAGTTCCCTCGTCGGTCTCCGGCGCGGCTCGAGGTAAGCAAGGAAGCTCCGATTCCACCTCCACCCATGAAGATGAAGAAAGGTCTCTGATCGAAGAAAGCTGCGACCCCAAGCATCCCTGATTATCGGGTATGCAATACCCGTCGGGTACCTGTTACCCGATCAGGGATGGGGATAGGCAAGAATCTATACCCGAGATAGGTAACGGGGATGGGGACGGGATGTATTCTCCGTAGCGGGGATGGGAATGTTCTGGCCATACCAGGCGGGGATGTACCCGTTGCCATCCTTATCCGAGATAGGAAGGGCGTGATCCAATACGTATTGGAATTGGACCTTGTACCCATCGTTGCTTGATGAGTTGTTCTAACTTGTATGAGTATGAGTCATAAGTCCAGGTCAAGTAAAAAAAGTGAGATGTAAGAAACTATCCACTGTCTGCGTAGTTAGGAGGAGGTGGATGAAAAAATAGGATGAAATTTTAGCGTTCGATATACGGAGGGTGTGATCCAATATGTATTGGAATGGGGCCCTATATCCATTACGCTTGATGAGTTATTCTAACATACCTTCTAAAATACGAAACATGCGTTTTACAACGTAGGAGACCAGGCCGATAGATTCTAGCCAGTGGCAAGCACCAGCGCACGAACACCACCAGCTCCAGCGGCGTCGCGCGAACACCACCACCAGTGCCACCAGCACCAGCCTTGGCTCGTCCGGGCGGGTGACGCGGCCGGGGCGCGTAAGGGGCTGGAGCGAGGAGCGAGCGGCGTGGGTGGAGCGCGTGATAGGTGGGAGCGAGGAGTAAGCGAGTGAGCAGCGCAGGATGGGGCACGCAGCAGGGGAAGACGGCAGCAGCGAGCGTGGACTGGCTGCTTACGGTGGAAGCATTATCGATAATTCGATATAAATACCCGACCCAGGATATGCTCAGGTCATCGCAAACCAACCTACACAATCACTCAAGCTTTGTAGGGGCAAAGAGCATGGCACAAAGCAAATCTATGCCGGTGCCGCCCATGACGACCACCGGTGCTGAGCACTCGCAGGCCGAGGCAGAGCTTTGGTGCCACAGTTTCGGCTACCTCAAATCCATGGCACTGCAGTGCGCAATCAAGCTTGGGATCCCCAACGCCATCCACCGCCGCGGCGGCGCAGCCTCACTGTCGGAGCTGCATGCGTGCATCCCCGTCACTGCAAGCAAACGCCCATGCCTGTCTCGCATCCTGACGTTCTTGGCGGCGACGGGTATCTCCAGGGAGGAGGAGGAGATCCCAGAAGACGCCCTGGCGGCGGCCGGCCCGCGCTACCACCTCACCGCGGCGTCTCGCCTCCTCGTCGACGACGACGACGCTAAAGGCGGCGGCCGCGGATGCGTCGCTCAGCTCTTCATCCTGTGCAGTTCGCCGTCCTACTTCACGGCGTCCCAGCACTTGGACGAGTGGCTCCAGCAGGAGGACGGGGACGGCGGAGCTCCGGCCGCGGTGCGGATGCCGTTCACGATGGCGCATGGGGCGGGCTTCTACGACGTCGTCCGCCGCGACGCGGCGTTCGGCGTGTGCTTCGACGAGGCCATGGGCTCAGACAGCCGCTTCGTGGCGGACATCGTCGTCCGCGAGTGCGGCGAGGTGTTCGCCGGGCTGACGTCCCTGGTGGACGTCGGAGGCAACAACGGGACGACGGCTTGGGCCATTGCCAAGGCCTTCCCGCACGTGCGGTGCTCCGTGCTGGAGCTGCCCCGTGTGGTGGACGCCATGCCGGCTGATGGCACCGTCGAGTTCGTTGCCGGCGACATGATGAAGTTCATCCCTCCGGCCGACGCTGTGTTTTAGGTGAACAAGACAAGAAACTTTCCAATGATCGAAGATTAGCAGATCTCTCATTTCGTCATTTGGTTCTACAGTATTGTTTATTTCAGTTTGTTTGCGAACTTATATCCTACTCCTTCGGTTTCAAATTATAGGTCGTTTAACTTTTTGATCTCAAAATTTTAGGTGAACAAGATAAGAAACTTTCCAATGATTGAAGATTAGCAGATCTCTCATTTCGTCATTTGGTTCTACAATATTGTTTATTTCAGTTTGTTTGCGAACTTATATGCTACTCCATCCGTTCCAAATTATAGATCGTTTATTTTTTTTAACTTTAAGTTTGACCACTCGTCTTTTATTTAAAAAGTTTATGCAAACATAGTCAAATTTAAGTTATTTTTGAAGAACTTTTGTTAATAAAGCAAGCCACAGCAAAAGAAGTGATATTTTTCATAATTTTTTAAATAAAACGAGTGGTCAAACTTAGAGTAAAAAAAAGTCAAACGAACTATAATTTAGAACGGATTTAGTACATGCTAGCTAGTATGGTGTTTTAATCATATAGGTTGTTAAATACTTATCTCTACTACAATGGACCAATCAAAATTATACTAGGTCCCCCAAGAAAAAGTCTCCCTCTGAGAGTCTCCAACCATTATGCACACAGGAAAATGCACACAATAATTCATTTATATTAAAATCAAGGGCTAATAAGACACCTAAACTAAATCCGATGACCACGATTAGATGTGGGATGCCAGTCTTCTCACCCCCGCGCCCTCCTCCCACACCGCACGCCGCGACCCGCCACGACTGCGATTTAACGCTCAAAGCCAATCACCACCGAATAAAAAAAACGCGTTCAAAACCTTCCGGGCTGTAAAGTCCTACCTCCTCGAGGCCAGACCCGCTTACATCTGATAGCTTTCCTAGGACATAGACTGCCCTCACAGACCAACACCTGTCTTTTCTGCGCACTTTGTCCTCACTCGTGCGCACCCGGGAAGAACTTCCCGGTCGGTCACCCATCGCTCCAGGCCAAGAACGCTTAACCTTGAAGTTCTTAAGAGATGTGCTTTTCGAGAAAAAGAAGTTGCAACTTGTTGAGACGAGTATCCTATTAATCCTATTAATTAAGCCTCGAGTCGGTGTTACATCCTCACCCCTTAAGAGATCGGCGTCCTCGCCGATCAATCCCAAGCCGCCGAGCGTCCCTCTTAGCCACGTTCGTGTGTTCGGTTGCCGGCGCATGTGTCATCTTTGTGTGACCACGCCGGATCCACACCGACCATGCGCACCATGCTCGCAAGAATTCACGACACACGCGCCGCGGAAACCGCGAGAGTCGGCTCGATACCATTCTCAGTAACGTCCCCTCCTCGAGGCTGAAGCCCGCTTACATCTGATAGCTTTACTAGGACATAGACTGCCTTTACAGACCAACACCTGTCTTTTCTGCGCACTTTGTCCTCACTCGTGCGCATCCGGGAAGAACTCCTGGTCGGTCACCCATCGCTCCAGGCCAAGAACGCTTAACCTTGGAGTTCTTAAGAGATGGGCTTTCAGAAAAGAAGTTGCAACTTGTTGGTATGAGTATCCTATTAATCCTATTAAGCCCTGAGCCGGGGTGTTACACGGGCCACCGTCGCGCCCGATCGCCCGCACACACGCCCACACCCTTCGTGGAGAGGAGGAGGAAGCTACGGTGCCCACCCGCCCGCCGCGGCTTTGCCTGAGCCCCAGATCTCACTGCGCCCTACACGCCGTGGGCCCCAGATCTGCGGCGCGCCCGCCATGGACGCCCGGCGCCGGGGCCACGGCCATCCGAGTGCCCTACCGCCACCTCCGCGACGCCGAGATGGAGCTCGTCAGCCTCAACGGCGGCGCTCCCGGAGGGGACGCGGGCCCACCGCCGCCGCCGCCAAGACAAGGACGTGGACCCGGACCCGTCGGGGCCGCCGCACCAGCCGGAGCAGCCGGGCGCCACCGACAGGACCAAGCTCGTGCTTTCGCCTGTATGGTCGCCGCGGGCGTCCAAATCGGATGGGCGCTGCAGCTCTCCCTCCTCACGCCATACATCCAGGTATTCTGCTACTAAGTTGGCGCACCACCTGTCCGCCCCTCTGCTTCGCTCACGCTCTTGCTAGCTGCTGTACTACTACCTAGCTAGATTCCGCTGCCTGGCCTGGCCTCTCATTTGGGTTTGGTGGAGGCCGTCCCCCGCTGTGATCCCCCACTCCTTCTCGCGACCTGCCTTGTTTGCTCTGCGCATTTAGGATAGCAGCGCCGGTGGATCTCGTCTTGCCCACCGCTTTCTTTTTGGGTGACTGCATTTCTGTTTCCACCGCGCACCGATTACAGTCGCACACCGACTGCTTATTCCTACTTGTCTGCTGTATAAATGTTCCACATACCCAATTGTTTTCAGATTCAGATATACTAACGCTTGCTGCCAATACATTGAACTCTCAAGACAGGGAATACTCACTATCTGGCTACGAACTAGGCTAACACCAAACAAATCATGGCCGCTAAAACATCTCTAGACTCCAGGCTAGCAGGCAAAACCGCCACTCTGTTTTCATATCGATACAACATTGCTATGCTAAATTGAACCGTCTAAGACTTGTAGTAATGTCGCATATAAATGCTGGAATGCTAATTAAAATGTACTGTAACAACCACCTGGGCCGACCTGCATTTATGTTTTTTATGCCCCCACAACTCATTTCTGCCATGTATTCACCTGTTGTTCATTTCTCAATTTTGTGCAGACCCTAGGAATAGACCATGCCATGGCATCATTTATTTGGCTCTGTGGGCCTATAACTGGTTTTGTGGTAAGTCACCCTGGGGAGAATAAGCCCCCCCCCCCTTACCGTACGCGCCTACGCCCTTCGCGGAGGGGAGGAGGAAGCCGTAGTGCCCGTATGTCGTGGTGCGCCGCCGCCGATTGCCCACTCCCACACCCTTCGCGGAGGGGAGGAGGAAGCTGCGGTGCTTGGTGAGCTGGGTCCGAACGACGGCGAGATCCATGTGACCGTCGGCGACATTGCCCAGGTACTTAATTATAAGTGCAAATCTCTCAGATATGCCATGAATCTTAGTCACTGCAATTTGCAATAGCATCTTGCTACTCAGAGCGCCGACCTCGCGTCGTTGCACAACGTGCAACCTTCATCTGCCTAAACGACGGCACGCTTTCATTGCTATATTGCCTCAGTTTGCCGGACGTGGTGAGGAAACCCTGCTGCCCGTCGCTACTGCCGGCCGGCCGCCCATAACCCTGGCGCCGCGACGAACGCGCAGCAGGCCACTAAACTCGGGCGGCCCGGCTGCATCTACGGACTAGCCGGCAGAAGATCTGGCCGGCCACATCTCATTGTCATCGCAGGTACTTCACAATGTCTACTATTAGTATCATAGGGACTCTAAAGTCTGATCATGAACGATTTCCAATGTGACAAATACTCTGCATTTGTTTTAAAAACTCTGGGAATGAAAAGTTGCAAAAAATTAGCAGCGAACCAAAGGAGCTTGATGGCTTGACCCTGGCAGCCTGGCCTGCAGTTAACACACTATGTTACTACTAAAAAAACTAGAAAACATGTGCTCTGTCTAGTTTCAGTTTCAGTTTTAGTCATGTGCTAGAATCTGATAATATGCAAAAAAAATGCATTGAGTTCAAATAAAGTATCTTCGTAAATATGGAGCCTTTTTCTTTCTCAAATTTTTTCATATCAGAAGTCACTTCTTTTTTCCACCATCTAATGGATTAGATGTCGACAATATTTTTTTCATTCTAGATCAATATGTACCAGTGCCAATGTGCAACACTGCAACTTGACTGATATAAAAAATACTAAATAATATTCATGTGTTGCAAATGTCAGAATTCCTTTTATTTGTGAACCGAGGTACTATAGAATTCTATATATAACTCAATTTACCGAAACCAAAAGTTCAGTATTCAGATGGGACAAGAGTAACTATCCCATGATCAATAATCCTGGTTTGTTCTAATTGTTCTAAATTTCATTGCATGACTATGATGAATGCTTGAGCTACATATCAGTACTCGCTTTTGGGGTCTGTCTATATAAAAGAAAAATAAGTAGAAGGAAAGAGGAAAAAGATATACCTCCCTTGCATGTTTTTTAAGATCCTACTATGTGGTCCTCCTTGACTTTCATGCTTTGAAGTTCCAGTCATGTGCTCTGTCTGATACTCTGGTTACATATTCAGTTACTAGCACAGCTTATAGCTAACACAGATAACATATGTTTCCGGCTTAATTTTGACGCAAGGTATGCCAATTTACGAGTCTGTTAAATTTGTATTTGACACATAATGTCAAATTAGTTCTGTGCCAAACCAAATATTCACTTAAATCTGTACCCAGTTATCTTATCTTGGAGGAAACCCTGCTGCCCGCCGTTACTATCGGATGAAGATCCTCGCTGGTACTTCGCAATGTCTACGCCCGGAGATACACATGATGCACTAAGCGATATCACCAACATCGCAGGTATGCTTTCAGTATAAACAACACTTTCGTCTAAATTATGACATCTGAACTTTTGGATGTTTACACAAACACCTTTCATCCAGCGGGTTGAACGGAGATGTATCATTTTATTTTGCCAAACTCAAAGCACTCGAGTATTTGTAACTACATGTTTTCAGTCACGTTAATTCTGCAGTGAATTTTAGTCGGTGAAGATAAATTTGTGTTTATGAATTCTGATATATTTTCAGGGTTTTATCACACAATAAGTTGGAGGGCTCAATTCCTGATGTCCTTTCACAGCTGCCATCTCTCATGGTTATGTGAATTTTCTGATCCTTGATGACTTTCATGTCTTAGAGTTTAGCTATAAACAATTGCTAATACTAATCTAATAATTATACATTACTGAAAAATGATTTTTAGACTGGTCCATAATTTTTAGGACTACACTACTTGATTTATGGTGGAGGCGGGCGCCTACTGGATGCCCGACCTGCAGCACCAGGATCGT